GTCGCTTAGTTATGCGAAATAAGAAGAATTCTATATTATAATCAGAATGAGATATAAAATATATCAGTCTTATTTGGATTAGATCTTCGCTAATTTTCGGGTATGCTTTATAACACTGGCTTTTTAATGTATCAGACTAGGCTTTTTATCTACGTCAGTTTTTCTCTCCTTTGCTCTAGGACCACATAAGAGTGGAAATCAAAAGGCAGCCATCCTCCCTGTCGCAGTTTCTGCGGGCCTCTCGCTGTTGGCTTGCTTCTCCCGCCTACCTCAATTTCTCCAATGTTACACTTCCATCCGAGAAGGCCTCTATTGTCTCGTTGCCTTCAGAAATCGAACAGTCTTCACAATGTAACTTACACAAAATCGATCGGCTTCATGCAACCCACAATTATCTATATAGTTCCAGTGAGCATTCCAAAGTGTTTTACTGCGACATTTTGAGGATCTACCCTAAAAGATTAGTGGTAAGTCAATCCTAAATAGATTTTAATAAGGTCCCACATTTAAGCTCATCTTGAGCACGCCTCTCGTTAACTGAAGTCTCATGTTTATTAATACTTGTGAAAGTGATTTCTAGTGACTATAAGTCATATAAGTTTGTCATTCACTGTATATTTTTATTAACTTGTATAAATTAGCACTTTCTTCAAACTCTCTTCGTTATAGAAATAGGCATATAGAAGCCATAGGATGCCGACTCTTGACTATTTGGTGTATATTTTAAGTGACACCTTTTGGTGGAAAGGACAGCTGTCACGAAAGATGTTTTCGTGAAAATACCATAATTAAATGGAATAATAGATTTGGTTTCTTTTTTGGATAGTTAGATAATGCCGGTCTAGTAGGTGCCGATTGACATACCTTACTTAATATAATTAATTAGGCCACCGCTTTCATAATTTTAAGAGACAGTTACCTAAACCTCATGTCATTGCTGACTCGTTTGCATCCTGGTCTCATAACCACGTTTCCTCGTGCTATCTTGTTTTTAAAAGAAGTTTGTTACTCTGAAATGCGCACACTGCTATTCGCTTCAGTTCGGGGCATATTTATAAGCATCCCAAGGTCTTATGAGTTGTCTTGATTTCTTCTGCCAACGTGGCAACTCCCCATTGTTACCGATTTCTTGCATGATCTTGTCTCTACCGCAAGCCTGTTTGTCAATTTTATGATGATTCGTATCCAGTGCTACATATTACAGCCAGTCTGACCTATGATTTTCGATAGTATTTTTGGTCAATTGTTGTTTATACTTATATAACTATGGTTGAAGTACTGGCGGAGAATCTATTTGAAACTGCTCCATTCCTATTATGATCTAGTTTGCTATTTATGCTTTATAGGAGTGGATTAAAATCATACATTGCAACCTTTATAAATCATTGCTATATAACATATATTATTTTTGGTACAATCATGTTGCTAGGTTAAATGTCTCTAGGTAATATTAGGTTGGTAGATGATCCTCAAAATTTATTAATTGATAGTTCTGGTGGTTGCTCGTCTCATGGTTGCTTACTTAGAATTATTTTGATTTAGCTTGAATTTTCTTATTTTTTACTTGGGGAAAACAGTTAGCCTGTGTAGAAGAATTCATCTCGCGTTTATCTCATATCTCCCTTATATTGGATGATTCATTGTTGTCTGCCGTCGTTCCTCTTAGGAATTAGGTAACCTTATAATTTGGAATAAAATGCTTTCTGATTTTTAGAGAATGCAGGCCCATTATTTTATCGACTTGCATTCTCAACCCACATTAACTCATCTTATACAGTTATCCTACTTTACTAATACTGCCATATCACACAAGATGATGCCTCTAATATAAATGTCTGTTATACTTCTTTTCACTATTTTTTGGATACTTATTGCTCATTTTCCTTAACTTCATACCTGCATATTGAGCCAATTTGAAAACCTTCAATCAGCTTTCCACATAATCCCAGAAATTATGCAGCCTGAGGAGGAAATATTTACTAATTTTTACGTATACAGCATGAGGTTAGCACTCGGTACATTTTCTCTGCTTTGGCCCCTACTTTACCATAGTACTGTAAGATAACACGATCACAAGGTGAATGAATGTCACCTGATTTTACAAAAATCTGCTCACTAACTCTTGTGATGAGATGAAATTATACAATTAAAAAAATGCATACACATTTATGTAAAAAGTTATTCGAATACTATCTGGCTATCTTTTGAACTTTCAGGGGAATATCAATCATTAAATAGGGTTTTAAGGCACTGACAATTAGCCTATCCATAAAGAAATGACTCCAAGACCTGATTTTGCCACATAATTACTCTGTGGCTTATATCCAAAGGGTGGACTTTTATCCAGGTTAGGCTGAAATTTCGATCTCGCGTAGGTCTTATCATCACCTCTAATGGAATTTTACCCAGGATGTGCGATTTCAGAGACAGGCAAATATTCTTCCTTATTATGGAGGATACAAAATCCAGGGCAATGCAAACTCAGCCCATATACATGATGGGGAGATATAGAATAAGCAGTCACTTGCTTGCCATTATTGTAGATTTTATAGTGACTTAATAACGATGAGGTCGTAGCTTTCGGGACTAAAACACCAGTCAATTAGAGTAAATTCATTTTTAAGGATATACTCCGTGATTACCTTGGCATGACATCATAATAGAATCGAGTCTAATGCAAGAATGTGCTTGTTTTTACAATCTAAATCCACTATATATGCTAACTGAATATCATGCCTACCTTACTACTCATTGGCTACCGAGGCCTGTCTGCATATGAAAGCGTAAACCTCAGTTTTAGTTCCTTTTAAAGGTGATGGCTTGATATAGACAAGGTAAAAACATGAAGGATAACTCATTTTTGGAATACGTGGCAAAGTGGCTTTCTTCTGTTTATAGCTTGCAAGTGATTAAAAAACAGGTCTACCAACAGTGCTCCTCCACTTTAAATGAAATTCACTGAAAGTTTAAATATATCTATTATAGCATAGAAATTATTTGTTCGTTTAAGAAACAAACAATTACAGCTGCATCACTGGAGCTATGCAATTGCTTATAGGATTGTGAGTGTCTATTCCCATTGAATAGGCGCTATGTCTGGGATGCAAGCTGGTTTTGAATCTTCCCTAAATCTAGGAAACCCATGTCTGAATTAGTAT